GGCATCCACAGCTTCTCGGGAAAGGAGGTTTCGCCTTATGTCATCCCACTGGGATTAGAGGATGTGATTTGCTAAGTGCTCTTCCTGTTTCCAAAAAACGTTACACTGCTGTGACAGTGTCTGCGACTTGGCCTATTTTTCCGCTGGTTGCCCAGTGCCTCTGGGTCCAGAGATCCGCTTAGTCAGATGCAGTGCTCCTTGGACCCACCGTGCATGGTGGGAGCCAGTGGTGGGCTCCCATCCAGCAGGATCATTCTTGGAGGGAATGGAAAACAGTTTAGCCTGAAGAACACAGTTTTTATCCAAAATCGACTTATGCCTCTCAAAACGTACTCTTGATATAAGGGGCCCTTGGGAAAAGCTCTCCTGCCCATTGGCCTAGTTGATCAGCTCCATCCTGGCTGCCTGACATCAGTCAAGACCTACTGGGGACATCTACCTGGAAGTCAGAAATAGCATGAGGGCCAAGGCAGGTCATCTCCCCGCACCACCCCAACCTCCTGACCCTCCACCACCACCCCCACCAAAGTAATAGTGTGGACTTTTAAAGATCAAAAACACAGAATCATTGAGCATTTCTTTTCTTTAAATGAACAATGCTGTATTTTTCCTGGGCTACACACCAAGGAGGCCCAGCTTCTGTGCAGGGAGAAGTTGAAGCATTCCCCAAGGTTTCGAGAGAGGATCTCAGGTGTGGCGAGGCAGCATTCTGCACCTCAGTTTTACATTGGTGCTGTTGCTATTGGAGATGGTGCTTCCGGCCTTAGTTTGGTTGGCTGGTTTGGAGTTGGCTTCCGTTCGGGCTGGCAGGTGACTCAGTGCCTCCCTTCTCAGTCTGTCTTCCTGCTGAGACCAGCAGTCCCAGTCTTGCAGCGAGAGTGAATCTGAAGGCATAAGCCGGAGTCCCCTGTGCCTATTTAATGGCCTCCAGGCATCAAAGCCCATCCTTGATGGCACCTGCCCATTTGGCACTCATCAACCAAAACGGGTCCATTCCTTGGAGCAACCAGCCTCCCTCACTGGCCCAGCTTCATGATTTGGCAAGATGTTGGCTTCTGACCCTAGAAAGAGGTTTATTTTTGGAAGAGTTCCTGCCTTCTCCCTTACCCTCCACAGCTACCATCGGCCCCTCATCCTCAGCCTCTCTGCCATCACCTTCAATAGGATTTCAGTGCTTCCCCAACTTTGTTTTTTACAAGATGAGATTTCCTTTTTACCCACCCTTCAGACAGACATCGTTGGAGGGCAGAGGTATGACCAAGGGGAAGAAACTCCATCGTAAATGACATCTTCGTCAGCCTCTGATGGCCTGTTTCTCAGAATCATTGGCTGAGAATTAAGCCAAGGAACAGACCAGTACCTGATTTCTACATAGGAGTAGAGGATTCAAACAATCCCTAAGGATTGTTAAAACGGGGTTGAGAGTGGCCAGTGGGGGGTGCTTTTGAATAATCACGTCGGGCCAGGAGCAGAAGGTGATGGTGAGGCGAGAAAGGTGAGGAAAGCTGGGTCGTGTTTTTGTAACAAATAACAAGGTATCAGTTTTGGTAAAAAAAAAAAAAAAAAAGGACCTTTTTAGCTGTGACTTTCAAGTACCACCTTTATAGATGGCAGGTGTTTCCATTATGCAAAGACAAGGCTTTCTGTGTGAAATCTTAGAATGCAGTTTCACATCTGCAGCCTTGTTATGTGCGGCCGTCACCTGGTGAGGGCAGTGATGCTGAGCTTGGTGCCCAGGAGGAAGGAGATTGCCAGGCCTCGGCAGGGTCCCCAGCTTTGGGGTTTGATCTCCCGGTGCTCAAAGTCAAATCTATTCTCCATTCCTCACAGCAGCCACTATGCCCAGACTGTGGCTTCTGATCCTGAACTGGGGCCCGCCAGCTGGGAGGCTCCAGAAAGAACCCAGTCTTTTTTTTTTTCCCCCTTGCTATCCCCATTAGGACTAAAAGCCCTCCTTTCAAGGTTCATAATTCCCAGCTAGGTTTATACACTTGTCTATATTTTATTGAAGGGGAGGGGATTGAAAGAAAGAACTCTGCAGTTCATTCAACCTTCCCAAAACAGCAAACTCGTTTTAAAGACTCATTGCTCAGGTAATAGAAACTTTATCCTCTCCAACCTTTCCATTCTCAGAAACCAGCCTTGTGTACTTGACCACCCCAGACAGCGGTGAGCTCTTAGTTTTCATCATGAATGTGGAAGAGCAGAGTGGGAGGAGGCCTACGTGTGGCCAATGTTGGGTTTCTTACCCCCTCTGGAATGCCAAAGGCATGATACTGGGCCATCCCGGGGTCCCCAAGAAAATGTGATTGATTCTGCGGGCAACCTGCCAACAGAGAACCAACCCTTGGGCGGCTCAGCTATCCTGGCAGAAGTTGGGTCACAGATGTCTGGTGGTGCCCGGCAGCCCAGGTTTCACCCAAACACCAGAATCCCACTTTTCTAAACCTGCCTGTTGTTTTTGAAGACTTCTGAACCCGCAGCTTTGGCAAAAGGACTTTCCCAAGCTGCCTCTGGATAACCAACACTGGAGACTCTGGCCTTACCATGTGGAAATAGTTTTCCTGAAGTCTGGAACTAATTTTGAGAAGTTTTTTTCTCAATACTTTTGTGTTTCTAACACTGTATTCTTGACTGTAAATACCAACAAGGCTGTAAATAAATGCAGATGTAGATACCTTCTAGAAAAAAAAAAAGGCATAAAAACAAAACCAGAAGTGATCCCGTGTAGCCTTCGTTGACAAATAAAAGAATATTTTGTGTTTAAAGGTGTTTGGTGGCCTTTGTTTCGAAAGCAATGGCTGCCTGAGCCAGTCCTCTGAGTTTGCACTTCTAGATGCTTCTGTTCTCAGGATGACCTGCAGGACTCCTGTCCTCGCTCCAAAGTCCCTCTTAATCCTTCCAGATGACAACTGACAAGGAGAGGCATTTCCAGAGAACACAGAGACTCTGGGGCGTAAACATGAATGTCAAAGCACTGATGATATCAGCTATGCCCCCCCTGTTGCCCCCTGCCACATCCCACCTGCTGTCCTTACTGGCCTCAGGGACAGACTCCAAGGGGTGGGACAGCCCCACACTGCACTGAGAGCCTGTGCTCTGCCCCTGGGCACAGAGTTGTCCACTATACCATGGTGATCCACAAGGGGTGTCACTGGTTGCACTTTTAAAAATAAATGAATGCATATTCATTTATTTTTATAACCACAGAACACAACTTGGAAAAAAAAAGAAAATACCTTTAGCATTGTTTTTATTCTTTTTCCTCTGTATGTTCTTCAAGTATCTTTTTCTAAAATAAACATCTATGGTAGCAGTAATTGCAGCATACAGGTAATTTTTCATCCTGCTTTTCTCACTTAACCTCACATTTAACCTCTCAGTTCTAGAAGTCCCAGATGACAGCTGGCCACTTAGGAAAGTACATTTGCTAAGCCCAGTTCCCTGGTGTGAATGGCAAACCTTATGAAAATTCAAATAATGGAGGACAGGAGTCAGAGCAGAAGGCTCATTGGTCTCCCATTAGCCTCAGGACTGGCCCAGCACCAGGCCCTCTGGGAAGGAGCTTCAAGCTTCTGGCCCTTCCTTCCAGCCAGGCAACCATGGGCTTTTCAGGCACCACTGCCCCGACCGTCAACGCTTCTGTGATGCCAGTAGGCACCTGCAATGGTACAAAAGACCTGCTTTTGGAGTCAGGCCAAATTGGGTGTGGAACTTGGCTCTAGCACTAACTATACAGTCTTAGGCAAGTTACTGAACCCCTCTAGGCCTTGGTGGTCCATCTGTAACAAGGGTATTGATTGTACATACGCCTCCCAGTTACTGCGCAGATCACCTTAAAGGAGAGGGTAAGTCATGTTGCATATTGTTCAGAGCACAACAGGCCTTCACCCACATAAGTTTTCCACCCCACTCCCACCCCACCCACCTTCCTTCCAAAGTCTGGTACTCTTTCCACTACACCAGTGGTTCTCAAACTTGGGCCTGCATCCAATTCACCTGGAAGGCTTATCAAAACAGAACCCTTGGCCCCACCACCTGAGTCTCTGAATCAGTGGGTCTGGGATGGGGCCCGATCATTTGCATTTCTAACATGTTTCCAGGTAATACTGATGCCCCTTCACACTCTGAGAACCACTGCTCACTCCACTCTTCTTTATACTAGGTATGGAATAAGCTACTTAGCATAGCATTTGAGATGCCCATAGTCAACAAAACCTACCATGTTCAGCCAGTACAGCAGGTGCGTCAGGTCCTCCTCTGCCACTCCCCGCCCCCCTCTCCCCCACTACACTGCAGTCAGCCGCATGGGAACACCTCCCCCAAATGTACCCACAGACTTGCACACCTGTGCACCATTGCTCACACCGCTTCTTCAAGACCAGCTGAAGCCTCTCAGAAGGCACTCGCTGAGCACCTGCCACATATCAGGCCCTTTTCAAGACTGAAGAGTTTTGGGTATGAGGTCTCGAGCCTGAAAAAGGCTGTATTTATCTAATCCCCTGTGCATCCCCAGTGCCCAAAGCAGGTGCTCAGCTGTGGGTCACATAAGTCCAGCTTTCCCTTTGCCTTAGGGGACCCCCTCTCTGGTGATTTGAGGGAGACGGGGTTTGTCTCCTGTCCCCTTCTGAATGTGGCTACTGGGGGTTGTGCCTCTCTCCCCTGTGTTCCTGGCAAATCTGTTGCAGCTGCCACTGGCCTTGAGCAAGGAAACCGGGGTGGAGAACAGAGGAGTCTCCTCCCCAGCATACTCCAACCCTCGCTGCCCTCTGTAACCCACCCTGGTTGCCTGACTGATTCGAGATTTCCTGATCCATTGGAAACGATGGAGAAAGGTACAACATATGAGGAAGACCACTTTAACAGTGAGTATCAATATGCCTTTTCCATATCGAGGGGAGGAGTGTCTAAGAGTTAAACTTTGCAGGGCTTTTCGCTCTGGCTCATCCCACCCTGACCTGTTCCCAGTCCTCGCCCTGGCGTCTCCGTGGTTGTCTCTCCTCCCACACTGGAACTCTTTCTCCATGCCTCAGGCAATTACATCAGGCAATCCAGCGTTTATTTCTCAAGTCTGAATTCTTCAGTCTGGAGTAGCCCCAGGGTGGGCGTCAGCCACCGCCCTCAGGCCAGTCTCCTTTTAAGGACTCAGTGGCAGTAGGAGTTGCAAATATATTACTTTTTCATTAATTTTTATTAAATTTATTGGGGTGACTTTGGTTAGTAAAATTATATGGGTTTCAGGTGTACAATTCTATAATACATCACCTATATATTGCATTGTGTGTGCTCCATCCAGAGTCAGGTCTCCTTCCATCACCATATGTTTGACCTCCCTTACTCTTTTCTACCACTCCCTCCCCCCTTACCCTCTGGTAACCACTAAACTATTGTCTAGTGGTTGAAAACCACTAGAAACTATGAGTTTTTGTTACGTTGTCTTGTTCATTTGTTGCTTTCAGTTTTATCTCCCACATATGAGTGAAATCATATGGTTCACAACTTTTTCTGTCTGACATATTTCACTTAGCATGATAATCTCATATCCATCCATGTTGCAGTGTCAGGATTGCCGAGTGGTCTAAGGCGCCAGACTCAAGCGTTGCTTCCTCATATCCATCCATGTTGTCACAAATGGCAATGTTTCATCTTTTCTTACAGCAGAGTAATATTCCATTGTGTATATGATTTATCCTTCAAGAATCCAAAGCGTGTTTGTGGAGATACACACCTTTCAAGGAAAACTATAAATTCTTAGGAGCAGTAGAGTCTTTGATCCATCAGGCAAAATAGAAACATTTTCTTTCCTCCCCTGTAAGCTGCAAGCCTGCTCCTACCCACAGGGAAGTCAGTACCTGACATTATATGCAATGCTCCTGCTGTGTTTCTTCACTTTTGTCATTCTCTCCCCAACCTCCAAACTGTGCCCACTCCACTCTCTCAGGACTAAGTTTTTGGTTGTTGTTTTTTTTAAAGATTTTGGGGAATTGGGGGAGGGAACAGCATTGGGGAATCTGGGAAGGGGAACAGACAAGTTGCTGTCCTTTTGTTCTTCAGTCTAGTTGTGGAGGACGTTGCTTCACTGGCCCATGTTGGTATTATCATTGCACTCTTCCCGGCTGAGGCAGATCGGTCGCCGGCCACTGGACTGCTGCTCATGGCAGCTCTTGGCAGCTCATGCCCACTGCCGGCCAGTCCCACTGCAGCCTATGCCATCACTGGCAACTCACAGCAGCCCAGCTCCAGGTGGAGCAGTTGTTCACCATCTTAGCTGTAGAGGGCGCAGCGTCACTGGCCCTCATATGTGGGATCCAAACCGGGGCCCTGCTGCTCACAGTTGGCATCCCAAGCCCACTCCTAACCAACATGCCACTCAGCCGACCCAGGACTAAGTTCTTAGAGTAAAAATCCCTTCCTCAGTCTGAGAGAGAGAAACAGAGGAAATAGAGTCATTATTTCAGATACAGATATTTATTATATAACCGAGTGGATGGATGGATGGAGGGATGGATGGATGGAAAGCAAATGAATGAATGCCATAACCAGGCCCTAGGGAAGACCTAGGTGAGAAATTGCAATTGTTCAACAAACATTTAATGACCACTTCACATATGTAATCTAAGTAGCCTTAGAGGACCTAAATATTATAAAGCAGCACCCTTTGCTTACACATCATTGCCCAACCAGGGGGTCTAGAAGGATTCAGAAAACAAACTCGGTGATACCAAGGAGCGTGTGCTCTGTGTCAGTATTCAAGATGCCTCAGTGTCTAAGCTTGCAAGAACTCACAAGTCTGGCAAAGGAGCAGAAACCATCCAGGTTTTGCCCTGGGAGAGGTGGCCAGAGGCCCAGTCCCAGGCATCAAAAAGCACCATAAGTTTGATCTCAAGCTTGATCAGGGGTCGGCAAACTGTGGCTTGTGAGCCACATGAGGCTCTTTGGGTACGTACATATGACTCTGAAGTAAAACTGAAAATGAAAATAGAACTATCATAGTTTCATTTATAAAATTTTTTAAGGATATTATTCACATAATGGTGATTTCATTTGTTTTATGGCTCTCAAATAATTTTTAAATTGTTGTGAGGGACAGGATTGGCTCTCCCAGGGACTGGCAAACTTTTGAGACGGAACATATCCAAAGAGCTGCATGTGGCTTGCGAGCCATACTTTGCCGACTCCTGATCTAGACGACAGGGAGTTGTCAGTTTTATAGCAGAATCACAGAAAGGCAGCCAGGAGCTCCAGGCACTACAGTATGGAGGGCTGTTGGGAGCAGAACCCCATCAGCATCTAAAAATCAAGTCCAGACCCTGAGGCGAGATGTCTGGGTCTAGGTAGGTGGGCTGGGCAGGTGCCCTGACATCCATACTTTATTGACATAGGTTTGATTGTAGGAAGAACCAAGCTCTGGAGGGTGAAGTTCCTCCTCTGTGCACAGCCATGATTCTGTGACAGCAGCCTAGCCCCAGCGCCCTCCTCCTGCAGTGGCTAGGGCTCCTAATGTGTTCCTTGCCTTATCAGCCTATAATTTCAGCTAGAAATTCAGATATTTCAGGTATCTTGAGGGGATTGAGGAGTGTTTTTTTTCCCCAACAAAAGCCACTTTCCACAGTGCCAAAGAAGGGGAGCTCAGGGTTGGCTAGGTGAGGAGAGGAAGGAATCAGAAAATTTTTGGAAGAGGTGGGCTTGGTGAGAAAGGATTAGATGAGAGTGAAAGACATTCCTAGTGGAAGGAAGGTGTGCTGTTCATGTGGGCCTGGGGGAGCCTGGGCCCCCAAGCTCTACTCCTGTGAAACTAATCTAGGCAGGCATAAAGCCCAAAAGTTCCCAGGGATCCAATTTAGCATGTTTCAACTTTTTTAACATAGCAAAACACAACAATGGTTAATGTTTACATGCAGGAGCCACTCCCATGAGTATATCTAGGTTTGGTATCATAAAGGAGTAGGTTATGTGCAAACCCCAGCTAGCAGTAAGGCCTCTTCTTTTTCCCTACTCAAAAATCACATCAGCATGCAAGTGAAGGAGAGTGAGCTATTTCAGGGATAATTTTGAATACACTCTAATGTCTAACAAAAGGAATTATTCTGCAAAGCTGTACTTGATTATTCATAATGACTTACTTCTGACACATTGCATCACTGTTTATAGTAACATGAAGACCGGGAATAATCGCTACCTCCTTTCTTCTTCTCTATCTTGAGTAGAGGAGTTCCCCATGAGTAGATCCTGAACAAGGATTTGTCTGAAAGTAAGCTGTGAGGAAGTCCCAGGAAGAGCAGGCGGACATATGAAGGTGAGGGACAAAGGAAAGAGGGTCACCAAGGCCTCAGGCAAGTGGGGGGAGTTGTGGAACCAAGCTAAGTCACGCCTGAGAGTTGTCCCTAGTGTGGCAGGGGACTGGAGTATTTATACCTTTGCACCTGTCAATCATTGGTTAAGGGCTGCCTCTGGGCGTGTCATTTCCCAATCACCTCTGGCTCTCTGTATTAGGCAAAGGGAGCTCCAGCAGCCTGAGGACAGCCCACCTACAAAGAGTCGCAGGTGTTGGCTGTTGGGAATGAAAGCACACAGCTTTCATTCATTTCCATCCAATGATGGTGGTAGAGTCTCACAGCACCTGTTGTGGTCTCATTTCCTGCCTCATGGTGGGCACCGAGTAAACGCTGGCTGACTGTTGGCCAGCGACAGATGCCTGCGAGAGAACGGGACACAATGATCGCAGGTATTAAGTGAACAGAGGGCAGGACCCCACCTGGTACACTTACCACTGTATCCCTGACACCTGGCACAGAAACCATTCATATGCATTTGTTAGTTAAAGAATGAACGAATGTCCCCCATGGGGATTCTGTGATCTAAGAGCTTCCCCAGGGCCTCCCTAGTTCTCTTTTTTGTTGCTTGTCTGATTCGGTTGATGCTGCCAGAGACCATGGAGCACTCAGGGGGAGGTCCCTGGGGCCTCACCACATGGTGACCCTCCTCCTTAAGCAAGTGCTGTCCATCCATTAGTCCCAACATGTACCTGTTCTGTCGTGATCAGATGTTTCTGAGGATAAGCAATGTTGCTCAGAGGGGAGAGCTCAGTGAAACACGGTAGTCACGGCCTCTAGACCGAGTGCTTTCTACATTAAATTTTATTTGAACCTACAACAGTTTTAATGGTAGGTGTTATTACCTTCCATTTTACAGACGAAGCTTAGAGATGTCAGGATTTGTACTGTTAAGTAATGGAATCAGAATTCAAATCCAGGTTTGCCTAACTCCAAATTCTAGGCTATTTCTCTTATGTCTTTAAAACTGGGGAGTAGGAAATTTCTGATGTGAAAGGTCATGCACTGAAAAGTCTGATGATGGTCAGTCACCTTTCAAGCACCCTGTGGGTCACCCGATGACTATTCAACAGACGCAAGGTCCACCCGAGACTTTGCTCAGCTGCAAACTCAGGGCTGCCTTTGCAGGCATGCAGCCTGTGCAGCCACACAGGAGTCAGAAGGGCCCAACTCTGGGTTTAATGCTCTGCTGTCTCCATCTTGAAATTCTTAGTAGTTTTTTAACAAAAGGTCCTGTATTTTCATTTTGCACTGGAGTGTGCAAGTTATATAGCCAATGCTCCCCACACTGCTTACTCAGTGTGGGCAAACTTTCAGCATTCTAGGACATTCTCAGGGCCCTGAGGCCAAGGGTGAGCCCTGGAACCCCAAAGGGGTGCTATCATATATATCTTTGGGGACCGGTGGTACCAAATAGAACTAGCCGACATCTTACCACCCCTACCAACACCAAGCCAGGAAATCCCCATTCAGTGGTAAACATGAAAGTCCACTAAAGTGGCAAAGACCTGGGAAAGGAGATGTAGGGACAT